TGCGGTGACGAAGGGGACTTCTGGTAACCCAACGTCGATGTGGCTCGTCAGGCGCAGACCACAGCCGACAGATGCACAACGGTGCATGTCTGCGCGCACCTGCATACGTGCACATTGCTGTCTTCTACGAGTGCAACGCTGGACATCCACTCTGCTGCAATGTTGGCACGCCGTCGACCTGCTGTGTTGGCAGGTCGTGTTTCTGCTGTGCTGGTGCGGCTCCTCTACGCAACGCTGGCAGGCGGTTGACCAAGCTAGCTGCAGAGTTGCAAGGTGCATGATGTAGTCATTCTTGTTATTGTTATTATATTTTAGATTCTGTACTGCAAACTTTGCTAGTGGAATCTCTTACCGATCTCTCCGGTAAATGTGCAAGTGCTAAAGAACTAAGCAAAGCTACGATCATTCCTAGAGTTCGAGAAAACACCCCGTAGTCTAGCTCACGAATATTGTAGTGTGAATCCCCGTATAGAGAACTATGGCTTGGCTGCTATGGTGTACCTACCAAAGCTGATCGGCCCATCAAGCTTTCTTCTACTGCATCCAACTCCTCGAAACACACTCGCAAGGCACAGTAACGAATTACGAATTACTACCTACCCAGCCGGTCGGTCTGGAAGGAGATCGATTTGCGAGTTGCGGGTGGGCCAGCAGGCTTGGCCTCACCGCCTCTTATTTCTCGTCCCATGAGACGCGATAACAAGTAATAACAATATCATAGCTAGCCAGTCGATCCCCAAGGAAGATGGACCCGCGGGTCACGGCAGGGCCCATCAGACTCGCATGAACCTCCTCCCACTCCTCCTAGGACGCCCTTCACCGGTCGACTTCCCAAGTCCACCACCCGAAGTTGGCGCCCTCACAAAGTCGGCGCCCATGCAGTGGTCCCTGTGCAGGTCGACCAGCCCTGTCGACCAGCTTGTCCACTGCTGCAGGCCGGCTGCACCCCTCACACCCGACCACGAATTCGGCACCGCCCAAGCGAGGACGGGGCCAAAACCAACTCCCGTTGCGATCTTGCACCCCTTGCTGCTATCACTTCTCTGCTTGATTTGACTCTTTGTTCTTCCCTGCTCTATCTGTACTTGCTCCTACCCCTCTTGCCCCATCCCTGCCTTCTGCCAGGGCAAGCAGGCCCTCACCATCCTCAGTCTCGCCTCCAACGCCCTCTCTGGCCCGCCCACCCCACTCTCCTCCCCCTCCTGCTCCGCCTCCCTTCAGGTCCTCTACCTTTGCTCCAACCCCCTCTCCGGCCCCATCCCTGCTACAATCAGCTCTTTTAGTCGCCTGTTGCGCACGCGCCTCGACACAAATGCTCTCACATGCGCGATCCCTGCCGCTGTGCGCAAGATGGAAATCCTATAGAGGCGTGGGTTGCCGTATAATAGGCTTTCATGTGCCATTCCCGCAGTTTGGCCGGCAAGGTTATGGCAAGTGAAGCTAGTAGAAAACGGGCTTAGAGGCTCCTAACTTTTGTGGAACCCGCTGCCTGCTTGTGCATAGATCAAACCAAATCAGCACTGATTGCGCATATTATCGTCTCTACTTATATTACCCTTGTTTGAAAGATCATATTCCAAGCAAGATGCAGAGGGGATCGGTTGGGGTAGGGAGCCTCAATTGCGAGCAAAGATGCTTGCTTACATCTATGCGAGTCCCCATTTACACTATTTCACACGCCCCCCTTCCCCCCGCTGCCCTTTTTTTTTTTTTTTTTTTTTTTTTTTTTTTTTTTTTTTAATAAATAAACCCAGATCTTACCGTCTCTCTTCATATTGGATGTGAAAAAAACCTTCATTCATTTACAGGATGTGACACCTGTGGTAAAACATAGCAGAGCTTGGGTTATTTCGGATCTTGGGTTGTCGCAGGCTTCGAATGAATTTGTAACGCGTCTGTGACTATGTTGAAATGACTGAAGTTGACTTGACATTGCTCAGCTGTTTGTTGACTGAGGGGAGCACCGCATCGCACTCCAGCATCACAAAGCTAGACTGAAGTTGACTAGACTGGACATCGGGAGCAGTGTTTTCAGCTTCCAACCAGCCCCTTCCCTCCTCAACCCTCCCTTGCCTCCAATCAATTATCGCCTTCAAGTGCCTTCACCTCACTAAACCTTATCTGAACCAGCCCAACCCGTAGCAACCTACCCCTTATCCATTCACCCCTGTCCCTCAGTAGTGGTGCTTGCTGGTCTGTCAAAATTGGCTCACAAGAAGTTATCTGCACACACCAGAGACTGGTCCATCTCTCTATACATAGACCTTAAATTTCTTGCATGAAACGCGTTATATTTCTATTTTTGGCTTGAGTAGGTATTGCTTCTCGGAGGATAAGTACCGAAGCCAGGAGTCACAGTTTAACACGGGGATCACATACATGGCAGCCACAGATTACCCTCGAGTCGCGTGCGCAATCACAGTAGCTTTCAAAGCTTTGCGCGTTCACGCTAAAATCACAGCGTTTCTCCTCCTGCTCCTCCTCCTCTGCTCATCAACGACGGCCTTTGGGCCCATTACGAGGCAGCGGCTTGCTACTGGCCGCGGACGAGGAATTGCCAAGGCGCGGACGGTTCTGCCTCCTGCGGCGCAACTCCTCGCTGCCCGAAGGGCGGAAGAAGCGTTCTCAGAGACATTTTCATCCGCAAAAGAAGCATCTGTCACGGAGCGTGCGGTATTGGCGCCAGTGGGCGGCGGAACCAGCTCCCCTTACAGCTCCCCTTTAGCGTTGCGCGTACCCGCAGCCTCGCCGCGGCAGGCTTCTGCGGCTAGCACGGCAGCTCTCAAGGCGATCTTCACGGCCGCGCTGCTGCCTATCCCTACGAAGGAACCCAACGCGTGCGCGTGGCCTGGTGTGTCATGCGCCGCAAACGGCGCGGTTGTCGAACTAAACCTCACGAGCACCGTCAGCCTTGACTTGCTCCCACCCACGCCTAGCCTTTGCAATCGTACAGCGCGCGACCCCGGAGGACAGTTCCCTGCGATCCTCTCCGAATCTATCGGCCAGTTAACGGAACTTGAGGAGCTGTATATGTTTAACCTTTGGCTTGCCGGCTCGGTCCCACGATCCCTTTCCCGGCTAACGAAACTCGAGACTCTCGACCTTGACAATAATTGTTTCGCTGGTCCTCTTCCCGTTGCCTTTTTTCGCCTGCCAAAAATTCGAGTCCTGATCGCAAGGCATAATTTCTTCTCCGGGCAGTTACCGCAACGTGCTGCTGCGTACGCCGGATGGGGCTCACTGGAGATTCTGGATCTCGGAAAAAATTGGCTGTCTGGGCAGGTTCCTACTGCTCTCGCAACTCTACCGAAACTTGCGGGGTTGTCTTTGAACACGAACGCGCTGTCTGGGATCATTCCACCTGCCCTGCTGGAAAGGGATTGGTGGGTGCTTACCTTGTATCGGAACAAGCTTTCCGGTGACCTGAGCGGGTTGCAAATAAAAGCCCAAATGATGATTAACTTAAGCCAGAACCGGCTGGCCGGGAACTTCAACACGATTCAGTTCAGCGAGTCCCTAGGATTTATCGACGTATCAGAGAATTCGTTCTCGGGCTCCTTTCCGCAGATCTTGTGCCGTCCAAACAGCCCTACAATAGCTGACTTTTCGCGCAATCGCCTGACCGGAGCCGTTCCAGGGAACTGTTTCAAGCCCAAGAATTCTCTGGAAGAACTCTATTTAAGCCACAACAATTTCTCGGGCAGCTTGGAGCCGTTTTCAAACCTGCCCAAGGGCATCATTCATGTGGACCTGGGATTCAACAAGTTTACAGGGGGTATTCCCCAGGGTCTCACCACTTTACCCCAGCTAAGCTACTTGGACCTCGGAACAAACGCTCTCACAGGTAACTAGCAGGGAATCCACCTGTAAGTAGTCTACCGTTTCGAGGAGGACTAGTTACACCACACACTCCTCACTTGTGTCTGCTTTGTTCCATGTACTTTCCTCCCATCCCTTGCCCCTATTGTTCTAGCAAAGTCAGCATGCCCTTTACATTCCTTCACGCTTGTAACATAACCTTCCCACTCTTTCTTCATGCTTTCCCACCCTCCTCTCCCTGCTCCACACCGTATTTCTCCTCTGTAGGTCCCATCCCTGCCTCGTGCCAGGCCCGTCAAGCCCCGATTTCCCCAACCATAAAACTGATTTTTCAGGATTCTCATTCCCACTCCCCTGTCTCTCTCTCAATATTCATCCCCCATCCCACAGGTTCCAATCCTCAATGCATCTTATAACGACTCTGTTTCTTCCTCCCCTTGTCTCTTCTCTCCTTGTTGATCCCCCCACCCCACAGGTCCCATCCCCGCCTTCTGCCAGGGCAAGCAGGCCCTCACCTTCCTCAGCCTCGCCTCCAACGCCCTCTCCGGCCCGCCCACCCCACTCTCCTCCCCCTCCTGCTCCGCCTCCCTCGCCCATCTTTACCTCTCCTTCAACAGCCTCTCCGGCCCCATCCCCGCTACAATCAGCTCCTTTACTCGCCTCAAGGGCCTCGGCCTTAATAGAAACAACCTCACGGGGCCGATCCCAGCAGGTGTGAGCAATATGAAGCAGCTGCGAGGACTAGGGTTGGCATATAACAAACTGACGGGTTCCATTCCCGCAGCTTGGCCGGCAAAGGTACGGCAAGTGCTGCTGGCAGGGAACCGGCTGTCAGGGGCTGTTCCGGCTGCTCTGAGCAAGCTGAATCGAGGCTCTTTCAAACCAGGGAACCCCAACTTGTGTGGGAAACCGCTGCCTGCTTGTGCTTAGGAATTAAGAGCATCTTGCTTGTGCTTATTGATTATGCAATCAGCAACCAACCCTGGTGACATAAAGAAAGAGTGGCAGCAGCAGTGGCTGCTACAATCTTCTATGTTCGTACATCTAGTGTACCATCTCCTCCCATATGCGGTACACTCCAGAAAATTACAACCTCAACAGTTGAACGTACTGGCAAGTAGAAACAAGAACATGGTACTGGTAAGTAGAAAAAGAAGAAAACTAATCCGATAACTGTGTGGTCATATCAAGGCAATTGAATGTTTCAAAGCTGCCCAATCATATCCTGAAGCAGCAACAGGGTCACCACTCGCCCCAGCAGCTCCCACCCCATCTGCCTCTGCCTCCGCTTGTGCACCTGTTAGCGTTGCTGCACCGGATATCTTTGCCCCTGCCACTGATGCTGCTGCTTTTCCCAACAATGCAGTACTTGCAGCCTGCTCCAAGTGAGCTATCGCACTCATCTCCTCACCAGTACCAGCACCACCAGCACCACCAGCACCACCAGCACCACTACCAAAAGCAGCACCAGATACCACCTCTCCTCCGTTTTCCATTATTTCTGCATCGTCCCCTTCCCCTCTAACCCCTCTAACCCCATTAATCTCCCACTCTCTCTCATCCGGACCTGGCCCACCCGAACCTCCATCCGGACCGAACGCCCAGCCCGGACCTGCGCCGAACCTCCTCGCAGCCTCGAGTGGCGGTTCCAGGTTCGGGAGAACGCCGGAGCTGGCAGCTAGGGACGGCATGGTGCCCACAGCACAGGGCACCCAGTTAGCCGCAACCCTCCACCTCTTTCTGGGAAGGTTCCTTTCAACAAGATTCCTCCCTTTCTTGCCAGCCGCTCTTGTTCCGCCTCCCCATTTCCTCTTCCCCCTCCCCCCTTTTACTACCTCCCTTTTTCCAATCTCCCCTCTCCCGTTCTCCTTATTTCTTGTCCCCACAACCACAACCCCTCTCTTCACCACAACTCCTCCATGCCCCGTGCCACTACTCGCCCGAACCACTTGCTCGATTGTACTCAGTTCCCTCTCCATCTCCCTCAGAAGCTTCTCAGTTCCTTCCTCGAAATCTGTCCCTTCCACCTCCTCCACTTCTGCCTCCTCCTCCTCGCACCCCCATATCCCCACTCCTTCACGTCCTCCTCCCGCTTCCCCATTTGTCCCCCTCTCTCCTCCCTCTCCCTCCCCTGCCCCTGCCCCTGCTCCCACTCCCTTTCCCCCTCGCCTTCGCTTCCCCCGCCCACCTCCCTGCTTCTCCGCCACTTCCCCTCCCCGTTTTGCACTATGAACCCCTGCTTTTCCAGCCGTCTCAAACCCCTCTTTTGCACGCGAAGTCCCTCCATTGAGCCCCAAGCCCTGCTCACTCATACTCACGTCACCCATGAACCCCCCTCCACACCACACTTCCAGTGCATTGTCAGCGAGCAAATCCCCCTCTAACGCACCGCTCGCCATAAGCACGTCACCGCTCGTCACCAGAATCTCTCTCAACCGTTGCGAATGACCCAACCAGGAAACAGGAAATGCACCCGCTGCTGCTACCCCACCACCGCCACATGTAACCACACCAGGCGCGATAGTAGGGTTACCAGCAGAGCCAGCAGCAGGACCTGCTGCCCCTCTCTCCTCCCACCACTCCACCAACCCGTGCCTCACTAGCTGCTGAATGCGCGAGCTCATCTCCGCCCCCCTCCCTTTGCTCCTTTTCGTCCCCTCCCCCCCTCCTTTACTCTTGCCTCCACCAGATCTACCTCCCTGAGACCCATCTCCTCCACATCCACCCTTCCCCTCCCGCTCGTCCCCCTCCTCTTCTTCCTTCTGGATCATCCGGTCAGCGAGTGCAAGTGCCACGTCAGCAAGCACATGTGGCAGGCGGGGACAGGAGGGGAGGGCGTGCAGGCAGCGCGTGGCGCAGCGGGCGAGGAGAGGCAGAGGGAACCACTTGCCGTGCGATGGGGACGAGTCGTGTGATGAGGTCCTGTGTGTTGGTGGGTCTGTGCCGCCCAGATCGAAATCGATATCGTCCTCTTCCTCCCCCCAGTCTTCCTCTTCTTCTAGCTCCTCATCTTCGTCGCCTTCTTCCTCTTCCTCTTGTTCCTCCTCCTCCTCCTCTTCATCCTCCTCTTCCCCCTTCTCCTCCTCTTCAGCCTCTTCTTCTGTCTCACCACCTGATCCGTCCTCCATCCTATCCCCATAAAATTGTCCTTTCTTCTCCCCTTCCCCTTCCACGTCCCCTTCCTCCTCCTCCTCTTCCTCCCCCTCTTCCTTCTCCTCCTCCTCCTTCCCTCCCGGCCCTCCGCACTGTCTCCCCACCACCACTTTTTGCACTGCCTTTATCATCCCTCCTCTCTCTCCATCCCCCTCCTCCTCCCCCTCTTCCTCCTCCAACTCCCCTTCCATAAGCAACCACTCCAAACACTGCATAATCTCCCTCCACTCCTCCTCATCCCTCCATCCCCCTTCCCCTCTCACCCCCTCCCTATCCTCTCCCCCACCACCCATCCCCTCACACATCCTCTCACCACCCGTCCACACCTCATTCCCCTCACCACCCACCCCCCTGCTCCCGCCCCTCACAACCACCGCTATAAGCTCATTCACTATATGCGACAGTAACGCAGCTGGCAACCCTCTTATATGATCCAACACCTCCCAAACCGCCTCTTCTAACCCTTCCAAATCTTCCCCTCTTTCCCCTCCCCCTCCTCCCCCCGTTTGTGCCCCACTTTCCTCACCCACACCGCCGAAACCACCCTTATCCGCGTTATAAGCAGCATTCACGACTCTCCTAAGCTGCCTCAGCAGCAGAGCAGCGAGATCGCCCATGGACCGCTCTGCACACCTCCGTAACTCTCTCAACTGCGCCTTCCTCTGCCTGGCCGGGTGCTGCATGTGCTTCCCCACCATAATCGAATCATCAGGCTCAGACGCTGCTGCGAACGCCAACGTCGCAGCAGCAGAGTCAGCAGCAGCAGAATTAGCAGCAGCAGCAGCGGCGGTGGCAGAATCAGCAGCAGCACCAGCATCACCACCAGCAGCAGCAGCAGCAGCATCACCGGCAGCAGCAGGTTTGGGGCTGGCAGGAAAGTTGCGCTTAGCATTAGCATTGGCATTAGCGCGGGCAGCAGCAGTGTTGGTGGTGGCAGTGAGTCGCCTGAAGGAGGAGAACTTGCCCTCCGCATCCTCGCTGCTTGCCGCCAGCATGGCAGCCTGTCTGCTCCAATAGTTGCTAACCAGCCAACCAAGAGCCTGGGGTGAGAAGAGGGGGGAAGGGGAAGGGGCAGAATGAGAATGAGAGCGTGGGCAGCAGAACGGGCAGTGGCGGTGGTAACAGACAATGAGTCGTCTGAAGGAGGAGAACTTGCCCTCCGCATCCTCGCTGCTCGCCGCCAGCATAGCCGCCTGCCTGCTCCAATAGTTGCTCACGAGCCACCCCAGGGCCTGGGGTAAAGAGAGGAGAGAAGGGGAGGTAAGGGGAAAGAGAGGAATGAGAGAGAGTGTGTGTGTTGCTCCTCCCTCTGCATCCTCGCTGCCTGCTGCCAGCATGGCCGCCTGCCTGCTCCAGTAGTTGCTCACTAGCCAGCCCAGCGCCTGGGGTGGAATGGAGAACAAGGGAAGAGGGTAGGGAGAAGGGTAGAATGATAAAGATAGGTGTGCTAAGTGCTCGTTGCCTGCTGCTAGCATGGCCGCCTGCCTGCTCCAGTAGTTGCTCACTAGCCAGCCTATGGCCTGTGTGGAGATGGGAGAATGGACCACGGAAAGCGGGGGAAGGGAAGAGGAACAGAGCAGCTTCATCTGTCCCTTCCGTCCTTTAAGACGTCTCAAAAGTCGTCTCCAAGAACCATATGCTTTAAGACGTCTCAAAAGTCGTCTCCAAGAACCATATGCTTTAAGACGTCTCAAAAGTCGTCTCCAAGAACCATATGCTTTAAGACGTCTCAAAAGTCGTCTCCAAGAACCATATGCTTTAAGACGTCTCAAAAGTCGTCTCCAAGAACCATATGCTTTAAGACGTCTCAAAAGTCGTCTCCAAGAACCATATGCTTTAAGACGTCTCAAAAGTCGTCTCCAAGAACCATATGCTTTAAGACGTCTCAAAAGTCGTCTCCAAGAACCATATGCTTTAAGACGTCTCAAAAGTCGTCTCCAAGAACCATATGCTTTAAGACGTCTCAAAAGTCGTCTCCAAGAACCATATGCTCTGAGAAGTCTCAAAACACGTCCTTTAAGACATCTCAAAAATCGTCTTTGAGAACCAAATGCACCCTCCCTCCCAACTGAGTGACAGCCAGTCGCAGCACCAGCAGCTGCAGCAGGAAAACGCCCCTTTTTTTTCCTCCTCTCCCTACCTCCCTCTCTCCCTGTCCTTCTCCCCACTCCTCCTGCTTCCCACCCTTCCTCCTGCACTGACTCTCTTACTTCCTCTCTCACATCTCAACCACTCGCCACAAATCCCCCCCCTTCTCCTTCTCACCTGAGTGACTGCAAGTCGCAGCACTGGCAACTGCAGCAGGCGATTGTGGGCCAGGGCTGGGGAGGGGAACGGGGACGGGGGAAGAGGAGTGGAAAGTGGAATGGTGGATGGAGTAACGTATGGAGGGAATGCGAAGCATACTATGAGGAGTTTGGACAGTCGCAACACCGGCAACTGCAGCAGGCGATTGTGGGCCAGGGCTGGGGAGGGGAAGGAGAAAGGGGAGGGGAAGGGGGAGTGGAAGGGGGAGCGGAAGGGTAATGAGAAGGGGAATGGGGACGGGAATTGGAAGGAAAGGAAGCAGGTGCACGGGGAGATTCAATACTGACGGTGGCAACCAGTGTCAAAGTGACTGTTCAAATCAAACTGTGTCGAAATGGACTCCATTCCACTGTAGTAACTGCAAGGCAAGGCTGGTGGACCACAGTTGCCACAGTGTAGCGGAGCGGAGTGTTGCGCTACTGAGACCACCAGCCTTACAGTGCAGTGCCTGGCGTCTAGCAGCAGTACTTTATGTCGAATCAGAAGAAGTCTTATTCATTACACCGGAAAAAACAAATCATGAAATCAACCACTGATACTGTGCCAGCCTTACAGTGCCTGACTGACGCCTACCAGCCGTACTTGAAGTTGACCAAAAGAAGTCTAACTCATTACACTGAAATTTTCATCACCCACATATACTGTGCCAGCCTTACAATGCCGCACGTCCACCAGCAGTCGCGGAATTCCCACGTGTGCCGCCACCCTTACCACTGACCGACCCAGGGCTGGATTGCGGTTGTCACACAGACCACTCACAAACCTACACGTGGCAGGGCATGAAAGAAGTGTGGGAAGTACAAAAAAACAAGTTAGTAAGAAAAAAAAACGAAGGAAAGATGACTCACGACCCCTCATGACCCCTCATCATGAGCACTCATGACCCCTCCTGACCACTCATGACAGCTCATGACCACACATATTCACTCATAGATCCTCCTGAATACAACCCTACATGTGGCAGGAATCAGGTTGCTGCACAGAAACGCTCGGCACTCACATCACATGCAAATGGTACAAGACATGCGAATACACATGCTGTGCCAGTGTGTACGCAGTGTGTGGTTTGCTATGGCTGGCCGACTGACTGACTGACTGCCTGACTGACTGGCTGCCTGACTGACTGACTGACTGACTGACTGACTGACTGACTGACTGACTGACTGACTGACTGACTGACTGACTGACTGACTGACTGACTGCCTGACTGACTGACTGACTGACTGACTGACTGACTGACTGACTGACTGACTGACTGACTGACTGACTGACTGACTGACTGACTGACTGATTGACTGACTGACTGGCTGCCTGACCGACTGACTGGCTGCCTGACTGACTGACTGACTGACTGACTGACTGACTGACTGACTGACTGACTGACTGACAGGCTGGCTGACTGACGGACTGGCTGAGGACTGACTGACTGACTGACGGACTGACTGATGGACTGGCTGACTGACAGGCTGGCTGACTGACGGACTGGCTGAGGACTGACTGACGGAATGACTGGCTGGCTGACGGACTGACTGGCTGATTGACTGACTGACTGACGGACTGAATGGCTGACTGACGGACTGACTGGCTGACTGACAGACTGACTCACTGGCTGACTGACGGACTGGCTGGCTAGCTGACCGACCGGCTGACCTGATGACCACGGCAAACGGCACTGCGTGACATGGCATGATGGCACAGCGTGTGTTGGACTAAGCCTAGGGATGACTGACTGACCTGATAATGACAGCAGCATATGATTGGCGGAGCACGAATGGAGGGAGCGGAGGCACCGCGTTGGGGGGCCTGAAACAGGAAGGAGTGATGGGATGAATGTGGGAACCCATCCATGCGACGTGAATGTGAAAGTGGAGGGCAGGAATCTAGCCATGGGTTCTACACCCGAAACCCATGTGGGGTGCTACGGCAGTGGGAGTGGGGGAGGGAGGGAGGGAGGGAGGGAGGGAGGGAGGGAGAGGGAGAGGAGAGAGTGGGGCCACCCGGAAAGCCAGAATGCCAGCATATTGTTCTCTGGTGTGTATCCAAAGTTTTTTCTCCGTTCAATGCCCTTCCCAACCGCTCTAGAACGCAAAGCACCTCACTCAGCCCCAATCAAATGAACTATCTGGACACGTCCTGAGCGTAGCCCCTCCGACAGCACCCATTCCAGACCTACGTCACCCGAACGTACAGCTCCGGACCTGCACCCCCGAACCTACATCCTGAACTTGCATCCCTGAGCCTACCAGAGGTCCGGGTCCTGCAGCTGCACGGCAAGCATGCCAGCTGTCACGTCCACAGAGGCCGGAACCCGGCCCCTGATCTGCCATGCTGCCACCTGGCAGGCCGAAGGGTGGACCGAATCCCACGAAGGGTGTGGAGGGGGGGAGGGGGGGGGGAAGGTGGGGAGGGGAGGAGGAAGGAACAGAAATCGAGATCTCGTCATTTGAGTCGTCTTTCAGAAGTGGGGGCAATCCCAAGGGTTCGGTGCAGCGGAAGGAGGGGTTCAGGGTTTAGCTGCTTGAGATTTATCAAACCTGGCAGACATAAAAGAGGAGATAACCGCAAGGGTGGGTTGTAGGGAGGGAACGGGGTTCGGGGTTTAGTTCTTGAGAAGTCTCAGCACGCATTCCCTCCCCGCGTCCTATTTTTTTCCTGGACGGTAAATGCTATAACGGGCGCCTTACAAGATTGCGAGTAGCGGCAACGACCCAAGCTTACAGAATGCGATAACGGATCGCGGGTCTGCTATCGCGTGTGATATTGATAGCGGATCGAAAGGATATGGGCTCGCGAGTAGACCTCACCGCCTCTCACTCCTTGCAGGACGCCCACGAGACGCGATAACGAGTAATGCTACTACGGGGGAGGATATTAGCGGAATAACGGTACACCTACCCGGTCGATCCCGAACGATATCGATTCGCGCGTAGCGGCGGGGCCCAGCAGGCTCGACCGCACTGCCTCCCACTCCTCCCACGAGGCCCATGGCACGTGGCGCAGCGCTAGAGACATTACGCTAACCTGCAACGGTTGCTGCTGTAAAAGGATGCCGTGAGATCCGGGGATGAGAATTCTAACCTTCTTCTAGTGATGGTCTAGCACAAAACAATTAGAGTTTAATCATGGTGTTTCTTCATGGCAGTTCGACTCGATTGCTCTAATTCCCCTGTGCTACACCCAGTGTTCCCTGAGATGAAGGACTGGACTTAGCAAGCGGGTAAGAAATTAAGAATAACGACGTGCCACTGTCGAGCGAGAGAATCAGGGTCCAGAAAATGTGGCGGCGGCCCAGCGGGATATGGCAAGGGTGACAGCAACATCGCGTTGCCCCTGGGCCAAGGGTTTGGAATGGAAGTTGGAAACAACACCATGGACGGAGGACGGCATGTGCAGGTGTAAGAAGACGCGCACGGTTTAATCAGTGTTTAGGAAGGTGAGGAACGTTGCAAGTGCTTGTCGGTATCTAATAAACATTGCAAAAACACACATCATCCCGCTTGGTTGTTGGTTAGTCATATAAATTAGATTCTTCAGCTACACATTTAGCAGGAATCTCAAGCAGAGTAGATTTGATTATTCAACAGCACAAGGCTGCACACAGAAGGGGAAGAAACTGAATTTTACCTCTATAAAGAAAGACTCAATATATTCACAGCATAGGTACCATACTCCCTTAACAACAGATCCAGGTGGCTTAGGAAGCCTTGAATGGAAAATAACACAAGGAAAGAAAAGAAGGTACTGTACACTAGCTTTCCATGCAGTAAAATCATAACCGCACGGAGGTGCTTCCCATCGTAATCAAACCTAATACCCACTCCAAGAGGGGCCATCATCCATAGACACCCGAATAAAAAGGACTAGAGTGCCGCTGAGCACAATGAAGGCCGCAAGTGTGAAGAGAGTGGCTCCAAGAGTTATGAGATGACCGTGGTGGAGGATGAAGGGGATTGCAACACTGCCAATCTGAGGGGGTGTTAAGGGGTGGTGGTGTAGGGAAGTGAAGAGGCAAGCGGCAACACTGCCAATGTGAAGGGGGTTGAGGTTTGGAGGTTGGGTGAAAGAGGTAACAAGAGGCAAAAGCATCTAACATGGCCTGAGGTGACTTTTGAGTCGACTCAAAAGTCACCTCGAAAGAGGTAGCAAGAGGCAAAAGCATCTAACATGGCCTGAGGTGACTTTTGAGTCGACTCAAAAGTCACCTCGAAAGAGGTAGCAAGAGGCAAAAGCATCTAACATGGCCTGAGGTGACGTTTGAGTCGACTCAAAAGTCACCTCGAAAGAGGTAGCAAGAGGCAAAAGCATCTAACATGGCCTGAGAATCATGAGGTGAGGAACCTGGCTGCTTGCATGTCCAGCGGTCAGTGGGCAACAGAAGCAAGGGGGTCGGGGGCAACAAGGGGGGAGGGGGCGGAAAGGGCGAACTTACCGAAGAAAAGCCAGTGAGGAACTTGGCTGCATCTTGCCATCTGGTGGAGAGAGAAAAGGGGTACAGGAGAGAGATGGAGTACGGTCAACAGGGGTGACGTAGAGGGATTGGGAGGAAGGAAGAGGAAGAAGGGTGAATCGTGGTAGCAGAGGTGAGAGAGATAAAGGGAGAGATGGAATGACGAATTGCCCAGTATCTACGCGCACACACCACAATCACTTGCATCACACACACTACAGCCCCACTCAGTACAATCACACTCGTTACAGTGCCACTCACTCGTTATCCGTGCCCATGAGAAAGAAGTCGGAGGAGTCACCAGTAGAAAAGAACAGGCATGGCATGGGCAGTATCAGGTACATGAGCGCTGGGGGGGTGTAGAGGGGTAGAGAGGAGTGGAGAGGGGTGTTGTGGGTTTGTGGCAAGGCATTAGAGGCGTGGCATGGGCAGAATCAGGTACATGAGAGCTGATGATGCATGGGGGAATGGTGGGGGAGGAAAGCTATGAAGGAAGCGGAGAGGAAGAAATGGAGGGCTCAGAAAGGGGAGTGAGGGTGCGTTTTTGGCCTGGAAAGAGGCATGGCATGGGCAGTATCAGATACACCAGAGCTGGGAGAAGAGATGTATGGGCAAGGGGTGGGGGGGTGGGGGGGTGGGGGGAGAGGGGGGTTGGGGGGTTCACTTCAGAAGAAGCAGTGGCAGTCAGGCACATCCGAGCTGGGAGGGAAGTCGTACGGTGGGGGAGTGGGGGGAAGAGGAGGCGGCTCAGAGAATACTTTTGAGGCGCCTCAAATTCCACCTCAGAAGAGGCAAGCAGTGGCAGTCAGGCACATCCGAGCTGGGAGGGAAGTTGTACTGTGGGGGAGATGGGGGAAGAGACGGTGGGGAGAAGACTTGGCATTGACCTAAAAAGCGGCACCGAATTGGCAGTATCAGGAACGGGGGTGTACAGGCACGGCATGGCATACGACTCAAGAGGGGTGTAATGTCAGGTCCTATGTCATGTATCAGAGACATGCGATGCGAGCATTGTACCCGAAATCATTGGCAGTAGTATCAGGTACATGCGAGCGGGCATATATGTTGGTTGGGTAGGGGGATGATTTTTTAGGCGCCTGTATTGCGGTTTGAGGCAAAAGAGGGATGGCATGGCATGGCATGTGTGGTGGCAAGATGCTGGGCCGGGGATGGTGGGGCAAGGAGAGGGGAACATGAAGGAGGGGCGGTAAGGGGGAAAATCAGTGATTGGGTATTGTACCTGAGAGCATTGGCCACCAGTTGTTGTAGAGAACACATCCCAGCAGCTGCAAGCCGATGCCCACTGAGAAGAGAAACGCCAAGCCTGCGAGTCTGAGGAGAGCGAGTGGAGGGAAAAGAGCGAGGAGAGAGTGGAGAGAAAAGAGTGAGGAGAGATTGGAGAGAAAAGAGTGAGGAGAGATTGGAGAGAGAAGAGTGAGGAGAGATTGGAGAGAGAAGAGTGAGGAGAGATTGGAGAGAGAGGAGAATGCAGCTGTAGAAAGAGAATGAAAAGTATATCAGAAGCAGAAACAGGCGGAGAAGGGGAACAGCAAGAAAGCAAGCGCGCACAGAGCCGGACGTTATCAGTTCTTGTGTGAAGCGATGCAAGTGGACAGCACAGCAGAGAACCGCGTAGAGGAGTTGTATTGAGGCTTGTAGGAGAGCAGAGGACGGCGGAAATTGAGATGGAAGAGATACGAGGACGAGAAGGAGACAGGACGTCGGGGTTTGTAAGAAGAGGACGAAGACGGAAGAGGCAAGAGGGGGACAGCGGAGCAGGAAAGCAAGTGAAGGGTGATGGAACAGAACTCACGCTGAGAAGAGACCGGGAGGTGGCGACAGCAGGTGGGAACGCGTGGAGGTAGTCATAACGCGTGGAGGGGAGTGGGGGAGGAGCGAAGGCAGCGGGAGCAAAGAAGGAGAAGGAGCGACAGGACAGAGGGACGGAAGGAGGGTGAAAGGACACGCACAGACGCAGCAAGGGGATAAAAAGGGATTGATGAAGTAGACGGATAGTGATGAGGTAGACAGGTGGCATGGGTATGATGAGCGAGGGAGGGGAGGGAGAGGTGGAATGGGTACGAGCGAGGGAAGGGTATGGTGGGCTGAAATGGGGAGGGACTGATACGAGTAAAGGGATCGGTGGAGAAGACGGAATGTGATGAGGAAGTCTGGTGCCATGGGTACGGGCGAGGGAGGGGAGGGCGAGGCGCCTAACAAAAAAAACGGGATGGACGATGGTGGGGTGGACAGATGGGTAGGTAGACAGGTGGGATGGGTATGAGCGAGGGACGGGAGGGAGGCAATGGTGTTTCTGAGGCGCCTTAAAGAAACCGGATGAATGATGGTGGGGTGGATAGGTGTGCAGGCAGACAGAAACGTGGCGTGGGTATGAGCGAGGGAGGGCGATGGTGGGCTGAAAGGGAGGGATTGATGCGAGTAAAGAATTTTTGAAGGGGACGGATGGCCAAAAGGTGGATGGCATGGGTATGAGCGAAGGAAGCGAGGAAGGGGTATGGTGGTGGGTTGGTAAACAATGATGCAGGGGAGCAAATGGATTGTTGAAGGAGAGAACAGATTTCCGAAAATTTTCAAAAAAAATCGCTCCCTGGCTGGAGTGTTGGCTGGTGGTGGAAATTTTCATGGTAACTGAATAGTTGAGACAGCCTTACCGCCCGTCGTCACGGCCATATTGGCGCGCTTTTAGCGACTCTCGCAGTGGGGTTGACGGCAAACTGAAACGTCTATGTCGACTTAACGGATTGCGGTAAGCTGAACTTTCCACGTCCAGGAGAAAGGAGGGAAGGCACCAAAAAATTCCTAGAAAAGTAAACTGAAATTATCTTTTGATAAGTTGGGTACTATAATGACGAGACGAGGAACGGCTGCCGTCTGAGTCGACTCGAAAGGTACGAGGAGTTAACCTAATCACTCGACTCCACCTATTCAGTCGGAACAAACCAGGAAATTACAGGGCTATCACACGGAATACGCGGAACGGATATCGCGAAAGGAACGTATTTCACGAGATAGCTACGGCACGTATTGTAGTCGCTGAATTCCTAACACCAATGGCTGCTCCTGCTACTACTTCTGCTGAGTCTTCATTGCTACTGAGCTATTGCTGCAGTTGCAAGAAGCTGGTTTCAGCAGCAATTTCGTTCTTTCAACTCGTCGCTCTCGCACACCTGCCAGCACGCAAAAACGGCGCGACGAAGTTTCGCGAAACAATTACATCTGCCCTCCTCATTGAACTGTTACGAAGGACAAAGGAAACAATAGAGAGAAAATCTGGTTCAGAATAATGGTTTATATACTAGACATACCATTTACAGTAGCACTTCAATTATGTCACTAAAAAAAAATACACAGCATGGAGCAAACATCTTAACATCTAAAACCCCTTCCGTGAGGCAACACTAAGAAAAAACTGCTCTGACCCTCCTACTGTTGTTTACACTCAGGGGGTTGCTCCCCTGCTGCTCCAGCTGCTCCTGCTGCCTTCATCCCCTTCTTCCCTGCTTTCTGCCACAATGGTCAGACACAATAACGCGACATAAGAAACGTCACAAAAACCAAACAAAAAGGTGGCAAAAACAGAAACGGCACAGGGGTGCGTGCAATGTAACCTGAAAAAGTAGATGGATATTATGGTATTCGGAATGAGGCTCTACAGATGGTTGCTCATGAAATTCACAACCCAAAACGCACCCTTCCGCGAGCAGGCCTCGGGTGGTCGTCCTCGTCATCATCATCCTCATCCTCGTCATCGTCCTCGTCGTCCTCATCATCCTCATCATCCTCGTCATCGTCCAAATCCTCCAGGTCAGCAGCCTCCCCGGTGTACCAGGAGACGGCATGTGGAATGATCTTCTCCCTCAGGGTAGACCTGGTGGAAAGGAATCATAAGACATAAGAAAGTGAGTATGAGTGAGTGAGTTAGTGAGTGTGAGAGTGAGATGAGAGTGAGTGGTTGAGGGAGTGAGTGAGTGAGAGTGATTGAGTGTGAGAGTGAATGAGTGGGTGAGTGAGAGTGAGTGGGTGAGTGAATGAGAGTGAGTGTGAGAGTGAGTGTGAGAGTGATGCAGTGAGTCAATGAGTGTGTGTGTGTGTGTGTGTGAGAGAGAGAGAGAGAGAGAGAGAGAGAGAGAGAGAGAAGCAAAGAACTCACCCCACATCGTAGTCCTGCTCCATCATCTCCTGCAGCTCCTCCGCCTGCCATTGATGAAGCGAGGGGAGGCAGCAAGAGAGAGACAGCCAATGAGACATGATAGGAGAGGGAGACTAGACGGGCACACCCCACGTCACCCCACATCATAGTCCTGCTCCATCATCTCCTGCAGCTCCTCCACCTGCCATTGGTGGAAGAAAGGGAAGGGGGGAGAGCGGGGGGAGGAGTGGAGAGGAGAGGGTGAGAATAAGAGAAACAAGGTGGTGCCGGGGGTGCAGAGCACGGTGGGGTGCAGCGGAAGGAAAGGTGAAGGGCTGCGGAAGAAATGTGGTAAGGGGGACGGGAGGGGGGAGAGGGGAGAGGGTAGCAGGGAGAGGGGCGAGGGGAGAGGGGAGAGAGAAAGGAAGGGGGGCCCTGTGTGTGGCTCACCTCCTCTTCGTCCAGCTCCTCGTCCTCGGTGGGCACGGCTGGCGGGCTGAAGAAGTTAAAGAAGCTCTCGCATGGCTCTGTCTTAGTGATGGGCTTGCTGCTCTTGGCGCCCTTCTTCGGCTTCTTCTTCATGATCTTCTGCGTCAGGTTCTTGCCCGCGTTCCACTCGATCTCCGTGCTGCGTTTTTATGAATGAGCAGCGGAGAGCAATGGACGGACAGTGGGTGTGAGAGAGGGGAAAAAGAAGAAAAAAACAAAGGGCACAGAGCAATGCAAACAGTTTGTTTAGGAAGGGATAAACTTGGCAACGCTCAGACCTTCTAAAGAGCCGACACATGCAACAAAAAAGGAAGGAAAGCAAAGCAACTCACCCCTCGGCCTTCTCAAGAATCGGCTCTTCCTCATCGATCATGAAGTATGACTTGGTGAGCTGAAGGGGGTGGTGGGGTTGTGGGGATAGGGAGGGAGAGGGGGTGGAGTGGGAAGAAAAAAGGGAGTGAGCCTGGGAGGAGAAAGGAGAGGAGCAACGAAGTAAGACTTTATGAGCTGAAAGGGTGGTGGGGAACGGAGAGGGGGGGGAGTGGGGGAGGGGGGGAGGAGTGACGGGGGGGGGGGATGAAATTGGGGAAGGAAGCAGAGAGGCAAGGAACATGTTGGCTCCTCGTCTTTGATCATAAAGTATGACTTAATGAGCTGAAGGTGTGTGGGGAGCGGGAGAGGGGGGGGAAGGGGGAGTGAGCCTGGGGAAAGTAAGGAGAGGGGCAACGAAGTATGACTTCGTAAACGGGTGGTGAGGAAGAGTGGGGGCAGGTGGGTGGGTGGCGGGAAGTGAGCCTGGGAGGAGTGGGTCAGAGAGTGAAGGTGGTGTGGTGGGGGAGGGGAGGGCAGTGTGAGGGCTAGAAAAAATGTGGGAGGCAACGAAAAAGACAAAGTGCCTCGAAAGTAAAACGCCGGCCCAGCACGGCTGGGTGGCGAATGGTGGACGTACCACTTCATTCTTGAAGTAGGGGTTGGGCGTGAAATGACTTCTGAGTCGACTCAAAAGCCGGCCCCGCATGGGTGGGTGGGTGGGTGGGTGGTGAGCAGTGGACGTACCACTTCATTCTTGAAGTAGGGGTTGGGCGTGAAATGGAACTCCAGCTTGAAGCCCTGGAATCGTAGAGCAAAGACAACAGCACAGGATTAACAAAAGATAATATTCAACGAGAGGCGATAGAAATGGATATCCAATGCAACAAGTGGCACAAAGCCGGATAACGAGGCCGAGGTGTTACCGTAGTCCGTCACATATAAATAACCTCCTAACCTCATACAAGCCCCTCTAAATCCCAGTGGAATCGTCTAAAACCCTCCAGGCCTCTGGCACCCTAAACCCTCAAACCCGAACTCGTGTGTGTCAGTCATTACTCTCCGCACTAACCCTGAGCTCCTCCCCCACTTGAGACCATCTAGTATCTTCAATGTACCTGAGAGAACAGGCACGTCTTTCACTTGCTGCAGTCTAGACGTTCCAGCAACTCATCCCCAGCCCATGAACGAGCTGACCTTCATTACCACCCCGCCCTGACCTTGAGCTCCTCCCACAGTTGCGACCACCGGATGTCCTTGAGAGGTACTTGAGAGCACGCCCGCCTCTTGCCACCTATTGTCTAATCTGAGAGGTTCCAAACCCTGAAACCCGAAACCCTTGTCTGACTTGACAGTTATTACCCCAGCGCACTGACCTTGAGCTCCTCCCCCAGTTGCGACCACCGGATGTCCTTAAGGTGCTTCAGTGGAGGCTCGTCCCTCGCTGTGATCTGATGTTCCAAACCTAAACCCAGAAATCCCCTGACAACCACCAAACCCCTATTTCCCCAGCACCCTCTGCTCTCTCACCTTGAGCTCCTCCCCCAGTTGCGACCACCGGATGTCCTTAAGGTGCTTCAGTGCAGGCTCGTCCCTCGCTGTGATCTGACATCCCAAACAGACACGGACAGGCAAATGGGTGCCACATACAGATACTCAGTATATCACTACTGAAAAAGTATGTACTATGGCATGGAAAATCAAAACCCCAGTACCAAAACGGGTTGGAAAAGCGCGTATGGCAAGCATGGGAAGCTAGAAACATATGAACTGATGCTGTAGTAATAATATTAGGAACAGTAATAACAATAGAAGCAACCATGATTCCCTGCCCTAGTTTGCAATGTTCTCCCCAAGTTTGCATAACTAGGCCGCTCACCTGCTCTGCCAGGATCTCGTTATTCTTCATGGCAGTGAGCCAAAACTCAGGAACACCTGAACGCAACCGGGGAAGAACAGAGGGGCACACAGCACACAAACCAAACCAAGGAAACGGAGAAGAAGGGGGCCAACCTTGAAGGGCCTTCATGGCAGTGAGCAAATCTTTGGGCACTTTTGAACGGGAAAGGAGGAGGGGAACAAGGGAGGGGGCGGAATGATACTGGGTTCATTCTTGTACAGATAACAAAACACATTGCTCTTCTTCACCCAGCACACACATCTTTCCAGACTAAGCTTCTCCACCCTCCTGCTCCATTTTCGGCAGCTAGAGCCTCACCGCTCCAACCTCAGCCATTTCCAACCCAGTCCAATCCACAGCACCGAACTCAGCCACAACTCACCCTTCTCAACCTCGGCTCCGGCCTCAGCAGCGGGGGCCTCAGCGCCTTCCGGCTCCTTGTCTCCCGCCACAATCTCAGAGCGCTGGAGGTAACGAGGGTGAGAGGGGGGTTAAAGGATGTGAGAGGCTGAAGAGCGTGGAGGTTGAACAGGATTAGAGGGAGTTACGGAGGGTAAAAATTAACCGAAGGTCAGGGTTTACAGCGGGTGGGGCCCTACACAGAGGGTCAGGGTTTACCGAGGGAGGGGTAATTGAGGGTCAGGATTTGCAGAGGGTGAAAGATCCACAAGCGGAACGCGGTTCATGGCCGAATCTAATCCGCATTACAACGAGCAGAAGCCGCGGCCGTTTATTCCCACTTGGTTGTGAACCACCTTTTAAAGCGCTTCAAAACGATACGCGTTATAGCGAGCAGCAGCACAACAATCTATCCTCACCTAGTTGTAGAGCGCTCGTACAACTTCTGGTACTTGGCCTCCAAGGCCGCCTTCTAAGGAACGTCTAAACGATACGCGTTATAGAGTAGATCCTCACCTGATTGTAGAGCGGCTCGTACAGCTTCTGGTATTTGGCCTCGAGAGCCGCCTTCTCCTCCAGAAACTTCTCCTTGAGCTCGTCGTGCGATTTCTGCTCCCAGCACAGGAACACAGGAGGGGAACCGGGGGGGGAGGGGACACGGAATAAGGGCGGAGGGACGATGAAGGCTCATCCCGAGGGACTTAACATCACAGTTCCGCCTTCTCCTTGCGCTCGTCGAGCGATTTCTGCACCCACCACAGGAACGGAATGGGGGAAGTGTTGGGGGAGGAAGGTGGAGGGGAGGGGTGGGTGGACGGACGCTTTCACATCATTGCTCTCTCTTATCCTCGAGACACTGCTCCTTCTGCACGGAACAAAGAAATGGTAGAGGAGATAGGGTTATGTGGGGTTCGAGGAGGAAAAAACCGCACACCATCACACGATCAACAGCGGTCTTCTCCTTTGAATCTTACTCGTTGATCTCTTTAGTCTTGTCGTGAAAAGCGGCCTTTGCTAATGCTTCGCCTTCACGCTTTGAAAGCCATAGTTACTCTGAGAGCACATAATCCTCCCTGCAAAACCTCACGCGATTGCTGGAGTGTCGACGCGGATCCAAACCTAGCGCGTTCAGAGACGACCTAAAAAAAAAAAAAAAAAAAAAAAAAAAAAAAAAAAAAAAAAAAAAAAAAAAAAAAACGAGTTGCATGAGGCACCGGCATGACGCATGTTATTCCCAACATGTGACAAACAACCGTATGAGTAACGACAAACGAAGTAACGATCACTTCGGCCGCTAAGAGGATCCGCACCTGGATCTCCTGTAGAGCAGTGACACGTGTGCGGACAGCTGGCGAGAGGCCGGCGAGGAAGTTTTGCGTCATGAGGGTTTCCAGTTTGTCCTGCCACGGCAATCGAAGAAATTTAGACGAAAAACAAAGACATCACGTAGGTGAGCAGGGAACAAGATGATAAAGCAGCGAGGTAGCCGAAAGAAACAAACTATCAGATGGGTGAGATGCGATCACATCTTGCGTCATCAACAAGCATAAATCATCTTCTTGAGAACCATGCTTGAAAACCCTAAGGCTTGATTTCTAAAATCAAATGATATTCCTCACCATTCCTGAATCCTGCGCCAATGATCGTGTTGTGGTGGCCAGATCGCGTGTTTCTCATCCCGTTACTATGCTTCTAAATTTACTTCGTTTATTCAAACTCATTTTAAAATATCCTCATTCATTTTCAACAATTCTATAAGTTTTCTGGTACTTCATTCACCTGGATCGAGCTGACCAATTCGGCGCGAGCTTCGTCAGTTAACCCCGCTCCCCCTGAAACGATAGAAAGTAGACCGAAGAATTCGACGATTATGTCAAGACAACAACGAGGGCGAAATCATCATAAAAGTGACAAATCCACGCCACGGAACATGCGATGATATCATTTCGCGTTCGACATATCATTTGTAGACTAGCCTAGATCGACGTCGGCACGACGTGTTACAAAAGCAACACCAAAACGCAGGAGGAGGGAAACAAATGACGGAAAATTACCTGAAGGAAGAGCAGCAGCGATATCTGACAGGTCCATCTTCTTCTCGTCTCCGCTCATGGTTCTAAACGAGTAAAAGACAAATAGATGTGCGAGGATCGTAGATTGCAAGGCAGACTACGTGAGATCAGGACTTGCGGACAGGTGGAAGAATCTCGGATCGCTGATCCTGCTCGAGGAGAAGCTCAGAAAACAACAGGACAGGGAAGAGAAAGAAGCACTGGACGATGGAAGAAGAAATATGAGTATGCGTTGCCCCAGAGTGTTGCCGACCTTTTAGTGCGGTTTTGAAGGGTTTTCACACGGTATGAATGGCAACGGCTACACACCGTTTTGGACCGTAACGCAACAGACGAAACCGTGGTCCTGTAACGCAAGCCACAGGTTTGTGATAGTTGAAGCGCGTATGCTTCAACTTCAAGTACTCGTATGGAAAAGTGTAGTGTTACGGGTTTAGGGAATCGAAGTAGCGAGAATTGCACTATTGAAACAAGCGAAAGGTTATATAAAGCATTCCCGAAGCTGCTCCACTGTACCAGTACCGCAATAGCTCATATAGAGCATGCGGAATGTCGAGGGTCACCCGAAGGTCAACCGTCTGAGGAATTCAACGGTCGTACGATCCAGTAACCGCGCGACAGTTAATTCACTGCAACATGGTAACTGTCGAGGATAGCAATAGTCGCGGTTACTGTAGCTATGCAATACAGTTAATAAGGGAATGTACCCCTCAGAGTACATGGCTAGCTAGATTTCTATTTAATCTCTTGTACTCCTATCTTTCAATCATCTTGTTCTCTTTCAATTATTATTCAACAAGGTTACTACAGAGACTTCTTTGTCTCCTCTCAGACTTAACAGATCCTATCCTATCTACTGGATCCATTGGTTGTATCGGCATGGTATGAGAGCTAGAGTGGATTATAGGATCCGTCAAAGTTTTCGTTCTTCTCATAACAATCCCTTTATAAAATTATTCATTACACCTCAAAGTCTGCAATACTATGGCTCCTGAAGGAAAAGCTACTGCAGACTCACCGGGCCCACCACCAGCAACGACTAACGCGCCATCAGCGGTGACCTCCGTCAGCGCCGCTGTTGTTGAGGAGCTAGTCGCATGCATCAACGCCCTTGAAAGCCATCAAGCAATGAGCATTGACGGCTCAAGCTACGCACGTGGCGTTGCTGGACTTCCTCTTCCTGGAGAAGATCGCCGCGTCAACTCCGAGAGATCCTTCACCTTCGACAATCGTCAAGGGTCAGCTCCTGCACAAGACAACCCACATCGCTCACAGTCAGACATCGCTTCAATGCAAACCAAATTTGTATTGACTTCAAAATTGAAGACCTCAATTCCTTTCGACGGAAATGATTTCTACACGTGGAGTTTCGAATTCGAGCTTCTCGCGACAACCGCTCAGATCTGGATGTACTACGACGGAAGCCTACCTTTTCCTTCGGAAGGCACCATACAGGAGAAGCATCAATACTACCACGAATCTCTCCTCGCATACACCGCTCTCCTTCGCAACCTCTCACCTGAAGAACATCTTGGCATTCGTCCTTATAAGACGGAATGAGCTCCCGCGCACGCGTCCTGGGAACACCTGCGCAACTCATACATGGCAACAGATCCAGTTACGATGAGTCGTCTGCTCAGCCAGCTGACTTCGGTTAAAATGAAGCAAGGGGAGAAAGCGGGACCGTATGTCAACAGGTGCCGCAATCTGCGCGACCAAATCAAGAAATGCGGTGGGACTGTTGTTAGAGGTCCACTGGTGATCCCCGATTGATCCTAGGGAAGGGTTATAGGCACGTTGGCCTGGGGGGTTATGGGCGCACTGACCCGCTACTTAACAAGCCCTTTTATCCCAATGGTCTAGTGGTTGGGATTCTGACATGGTATCAGAGCGAAGGTCTCGGGTTCGAATCCCGGTGTATGCACTTCGGGCATCCCAGTGCGGGGGGGTGTCAGAGGTCCACTGGTGATCCCCGATTGATCCTAGGGAAGGGTTACAGGCACGTTGGCCTGGGGGGTTATGGGCGCACTGACCCGCTACTTAACAAGCCCTTTTATCCCAATGGTCTAGTGGTTGGGATTCTGACAAATGTCCCCGACGACATGTTCATCTCGATGGTCATCTCTGGCCTCGGCCCCGACTGGCGACAGTGCCAGTCACTCCTTCGCGCCCGAGCAACCATATCAGAGTCGGCTCTGTGCGCCACGCTTCTTTCGGAGCAGAAGGAAATCGACCTGTACAACGAGAAGAATGTCAAACGGGAGAAATTAGTCTTCTACACAGGAGCATCACAAGGGGAGCAACGCGGAAAGAAGGGAGCTTTTTGCAAATAATGCAAGAAGTCTGGCCACACTATCGACCAGTGCTACAAGCGTCAGGCCGCTGACGAGTGGCGCAACGCCTCCAACCAACAACCATCGGCACAGACAAAGCTTTCCGCCACAACCTCCAATGTGTCGCCTCCGTCTGTCGCCAGCACTTCTCAATCTCCTGCACTCATCACGGCGAAGGACAAAGGAAAAGGGACAATCATAAGTTGCATGGCTCGCCGCAACAGAGGGTTCCGTTACTGGGATCGAGTAACATTCGCTCGCGACAATCCCATCAACCCCGTTGCGCACAGTCCAGACAATGATTCAACAGTCTTTACCTGGTCCACTCGCCCCTCAGACATTACTCCTGACTTCGAGCTCCCTCCTCCTACTCCGGAATCACCGCCGAGCATTTCCGCAAACAGATATTTCGCCCTCTCACCGTACACCGGCGACTTTGATCGCATCGTCACACCCAAGATCGCCAACCTCGCCCGCCAGCGCTATGAGGATCTGGACACGTGGTACCTCGACAGTTGCTGCGGACAACATATGGTGGGATCGCCAAAGTTCATCAGCAACTCACGGCGTATGCGACGACCCTGCGAAATCACCGCCGCCAACAATGGAAAAATGAAGGCATATGAGATTGGCGAAATCTACCTCGAGGCCAATGACACGAAGTTCACCATTCACATCGGAGACGTCCTCATCGCACCTGACCTACAATACAACTTACTCTCATCAGCTCAACTCATGCGGTGCGGAATCGACATTCGCAGCAATCGGAAGGAGAAGACCTTCGAGCTCTTCCACAACGAAACTTACATCGGAAAGGCGATCGATGACGATGGAGTCTTCGTGCTGCAATTTTCGGCTCAGGGCACCACCGGCGATTCCCACTACACACACCTGCTGCTGAAAACAACTCCCATGGAACCGCCAACATGGTCACATCCCGACGAGATGGATCTCGAGCGACCTGCCTCCGACGGCCTTCTGCGCTTGCGCACCATTCCGACTGCCTCGACCTCCAACCCTGCAGAAACCGGACCTGCCACAATGGAAGAAGACAGCGGCACGTCAGGACCTGCAACACAACCAACCGAAGAAAACAAGATGGCGGAGACACGCTGGATGGGCTGGAACACTTCCGAGCCCGCGCTCGGATCCTGGGGAGAAGTTTTAACTCCAGAAGAAGCAGCCGCAAGCGGGTGGGGCGCCGTTTCAACGGGAGAAGTTGGCGCAACCGGCTGGGGGACTCCCCCTGCCTCAGCAGAGGAAGTTGGTGCAACAGCAGGAGAAGCAGTCGGAGAAGCAGAGACAGCTGGAGACACATGGGGCGCCGGAGGAGGATGGGTCACCTCGGCCGAAGCAGAACAAGGGCACGTCGAAGCAGCTGGTTTTCCTCCTGCGGAAGTCGCCGTCGTCGACCCATACTGGGCAACTCGCGGCACCTGCTGGGGAGGTCCACCTCTCCCAGATCAATACGCCCCTGATACACCCAAGCCAATGCCAGAAGAGTCAGAAGAAGAGGAGACCTACGAATTTATGGGAGAACCAACGGAGTTACCCGAACCTACCGAGGAGCCGGAGCCGCCAGTACAAGGACCACAAGAAATTGAGGTCATCGGCGCTGAATACAGTTACTTCAGAATCCCCATGACGGGACTCCCAGTTCGGGAGTGGCCCAACCAGTGCCTGCTCGTTATCGGAGACCAAGTCGAAGCCGGCGACACCGACGACATCATCGGTATTCCTCGCGCGCTTCTGGAGCAAAAAGCAATTCGCGCGCTCGTTGCTGATACCGACAACGTCGCCAACGCAGGACCTGAAGGGGAGGCAAACGACGAAGCAGCGCGACAAAAATATTATCAAAAGACAGTCGGTTACCGTGCGAACCCAGGAACATGGCACCAACGGCTCGGACATCCCTCCCACGCTACGCTCAAAAACTCGCTCAAGGCTGGAGTCTTCGACAACGAAGCGCTCCTCCTTCCACAAGACGGTTCCCTCACCGCGGACTCGCCTAACCCGCTGTGCATCGTCTGCCCAACCGCGTCGCTCAACCACCAGCCGTTCCCCGATCTGCCCCCAGGGTACGAACGCTACAAGCCGCTGGACAAGGTTTACAGCGACTTTATGGTGCTCAGCCAGGAAGGGCTCGACGGGGAGCAGCACACACTTACCTTCATTGACGCATCTACGCGCTAAGTCTGGGCCGTTAACACCGACTGCAGGTCGCTGGCCTTCGAGTGCTTCATTGCGTGGATGAAGCGGGCTGAGCGACAGTCCGGTCTAAAACTCAAAGCCTAGCAGACAGACGGAGCCCTGGAGTTCTTCTCAGACGAGTTCAAGGAGCTCTTCAAGCAGAAGGGGATTGAGCACCTGGTGTCCCTGCCCTATGCTCACCAACAGCAAGGAGTAGCAGAATGGACAAACAGAAGCCTCGCCATGCGGATGAGGGCTCTGATGAAGCAGTCGGCCATCCCAACAAAATATTGGCCGTTTGCGATGAATCACGCTGTTCGGCTGCACAACTTGCTGTCCTCGCAAAGCCTCGAGAACAACAACTCTCCCTACCGGGCATGGACGGGCAGAAAAGCAGATACACGCCTGCTTCGGGTGTTTGGCTGCATGGTACAGTACAGACCCCACACTGCGAGAACCGGAAAATTTGCTGACCGGGTACGATGGGGCATCCACCTCGGGATCGAAAAGGAATTCA